GTTTTGTTTTGGGTTTTTATTTTGAAGAAAGAAGCTGCTGTTTTGGAGATCTTTTAAGCTCTGTGTAAAAGGGTGGCTCAGCTGTGATGTCATTCTAGGAGCCTTAATGAATGAAATTAACGGATAATGGAATATCAGATGAGGCAAGAATACGAGGGAAAGGGACGTCAATATTCAAGAAATGGGTAGGTGGAGGAAATTATAAGCAGGGAGGAAAGCTGTACAGTATATGGAAAAACTGACTCAAGCATTAAACATCTGAAGGCTTGGGTTCCTTTTCATCATTTGCACTCAAAGAAACTGCCAGAGAGAGACATTTTGCTGCTGATTTACTTCCATTAAGAGCTACCGGTACTTCAGTCACTTCTGGACTTTGAAATATTTTTGAGACACTTTGATCTTACCCCCATCCTGCCTCAGTCACATGTACGTCCTGGGCGGTGGGGACACACACACACACACACACACACACACACACACACACAGAAACTTCATACAAGGCCAGCCTAAGACATTTTACAGCCTGAAGTGGAGCAGCAAACCATTCCCTCACAGTTCAAGTTGTACAGTGGGGGTGGGAGCTGTTTCAGCCAAAGGGCCATATTCCTTTCTGCGCTATCTACTGGGGGGCCAGATGGCAGTGGTATGTGGGGCCAGAGGCAAAAGTAGACAGAGCGCTAAATGTGATTTTTTCCCTTTGTGCAGTAGCTTAGTTTCCACACACAAACACTTCTCTACCTCCATCTAGGAAGCGAGAAGCAAAGATATATTCCAGCAACCAGGCAAAGAGGGTGCAAGCCAGACTGGCAAGGGGTGTGTCTGTGGCAGGGGTTCCCCATTGCTGGTATATATTACCTCAGAAAGCCAGTCAAGTTATTTCGGTGCCTGAAGCAAAAAGATATTCCAACCTCCCACACAGTAAACACAGAACAATAATAACTTATTTTTTTTGCTGTCTGATGGTAGGGCTGGCCATGATAGGACCCAGTTGTTTGGATCCATTCTGCTGCACATATGAAAGCCTTGCAAATATAAGCTGTACCATTAACAGAGGGAGCAGATTTGAGAAGATGAAGCCATGTGTCGTGTACTAGGGCTGTTTGTTGGCTCCAGCTGAATCCCAGCTCCAAAACTAAATTGGGCCAATTGGGCTGAGGTAGCCCCAGATCAACTGGGCTCAGTTCAGGTCCATCTGTGGCAGTCTAGGGCTGGCAAAGGAGGGGGTCACTCAGCTGGTGAGAACTGAGGGTGGGGAGGAGATGCAGGGAGGGAGCTGGCCTGCGTGCATTCCTGTCTCCCTCCACTGCATGTTTAATGAAGGTTTGAAAGCACAATTAAATACTGTGCAAGGCCCCCAATTCAGTTATGGGCCTAGATCAAATACAATACAAATACAAGATGGGGGACACCTGGCTTGAGAGCAGTACATGTGAAAAGGATCTAGGAGTCTTGGTTGACCACAAACTTGACATGAGCCAACAGTGTGACGCGGCAGCTAAAAAAGCCAATGCAATTCTGGGCTGCATCAATAGGAGTATAGCATCTAGATCAAGGGAAGTAATAGTGCCACTGTATTCTGCTCTGGTCAGACCTCACCTGGAGTACTGTGTCCAGTTCTGGGCACCACAGTTCAAGAAGGACATTGACAAACTGGAACGTGTCCAGAGGAGGGCAACCAAAATGGTCAAAGGCCTGGAAACGATGCCTTATGAGGAACGGCTAAGAGAGCTGGGCATGTTTAGCCTGGAGAAGAGGAGGTTAAGGGGTGATATGATAGCCATGTTCAAATATATAAAAGGATGTCACATAGAGGAGGGAGAAAGGTTGTTTTCTGCTGCTCCAGAGAAGCGGACACGGAGCAATGGATCCAAACTACAAGAAAGAAGATTCCACCTAAACATTAGGAAGAACTTCCTGACAGTAAGAGCTGTTCGACAGTGGAATTTGCTGCCAAGGAGTGTGGTGGAGTCTCCTTCTTTGGAGGTCTTTAAGCAGAGGCTTGACAACCATATGTCAGGAGTGCTCTGATGGTGTTTCCTGCTTGGCAGGGGGTTGGACTCGATGGCCCTTGTGGTCTCTTCCAACTCTATGATTCTATGATTCTATGATTCTATGATTCTATGATTCTATCTGGGTTGGGTTGGTCCCACGTTATCCTGGGAGGGATCAGGTTTGCTCTGAAGCACCAGATCATGCCTCAAATCAGATAGGGTGGGCTGTGTACAGCCCTAATTTTAACTCTGCTCTGTTTTGTCTATTCAAATGAATAGGTTTTTCAAGTGGGATAGCTCCATTTGCACATCAAAGCTGTCACCTCCATAAAAAAAAAAGTCTGGATCAGAGGGAATGTATCTGTGCTAAGGGAATGATGTTAGAGGACATATTTCTTATGGGCTTCTCAGCAATGTGTAAAGGGGTGTATACAATGATTGGAACCTGAGTTGCTGACCTGAGCCCTGAAATGCATGTAAAAGGCCAGAGGAAGAGCATTGGTCCTTCCCACATCCTCTTTCAGTTCTATGTGTGAGCTCAGTTCAGCACGCAAGCTGCCGACCAGAGCCTTAAAAAGCACACAAAGCTTTCCAAGGCTCAGATTGTCGTGCGTCTGAACAGTGGAACAGAAAGCAGAACATCTAAGAGGGTAAGAGGGGAAAGGAGCCTAGGGCAATGAAACAAGCTGGGAGACAGCTGGAATGCGAGTGGAGAAAAGATTCGGTCGAATGCAATCAAACACTGGCGAGGGCTCATGATTGAGCCTACCTAGTGGCAGTGAAGGCAGCAAAGAAGGCATACAGTGGTACCTCGGGTTAAGTACTTAATTCGTTCTGGAGGTCCGTTCTTAGCCTGAAACTCTTCTTAACCTGAGGTACCACTTTAGCTAATGGGGCCTCCTGCTGCTGCCGCCGCGCGATTTCTTCTCTTATCCTGAAGCAAAGTTCTTAACCTGAAGCACTGTTTCAGGGTTAGCAGAGTCTGTAACCTGAAGTGTATGTAACCTGAGGTACCACTGTACTTTGTTGTCACCATTGCAACCATTGGAGAACTTTTCTGGGTAGTGCAGGGCCTCTTCCTTCAATCTGGCCTGAAGGATTTGGTAGAACCGACGGTAGCTTGCTATGACTTGTTTGAAAACCATTTCGAGGACAAAACTGCTTACATCCACTAGGATCTTGACTCCACTGTAGTAGCAGATAAGTCTCAAGGGGTGTCCAGAGCACTATTTAGTCCTGTTGTGTTGGATGAGTTTCAGTTAGTAAGGGACAACGATGCGGACAAGGTGCTTTGATCAGTTAAGGCGACAACGTGCGCTCTGGACCCTTGCCCAACTTGGCTAATAAAAACTAGCAGGGAGGGGACAGTTGGCTGGGCCAGGGAGGTGATTAATGCTTCCTTGTGAGAGGGGGTGATCCCTTCCTGCTTGTAACTTCCGACCAGCTGCTAGTCTCTCCTTCTTGGGCAAGGTTCTTGAGCGGGTGATTGCAAACCAGATCCAGGTGTTCTTCAAGGAAACTAATTTTCTAGTTCCATTTCAATCGGGGTTTACACCTGGTTTGGGCACAGAAATTGCTTTGGTCACCCTCTCAGGAGAGAGACAAAAGAAATGTGTCCCTGTTAACTCTCCTCAACCTCTCAGCGGCATTTGATGCCATCAACCATGGTATACTTATGAAGCGGCTGTCTAGGTTGGGGGTGGATGGCACCACTTTTGGTGGTTCCAGTCCTACTTGGATGGATGTTTCCAGAAGCTGATGCTTGGGGAGTCTTTTTCGGCCCTGTGGAGCCTTCCTTGAGGTTCCTCAGAGTTTGATTTTATCCTCTATGCTGTTTAACATCTACAAGAAACCACTAAGTAGGGTTATACAGAGGTTTGAAGTAAGCTGTCAAGCCCTACTTCTCCTTTACATCTGCAGGTGAGGCAGTGGGTGTGCCGGACTGTTGTCTTTCCTCAGTAATGGACTGGATGAGAGCCAACAAACAGAAGCTCAATCCAGATAAAACTGAGGTACTGTTAGTGGGTGGTTCCCTAGAACAGATGGATGAGAGGTTGCCTGCTCATGATGGGGTTATACTCCCTCTGAAGGAGCGGGTACATAGCTTGGAAGTTGCTTGAGGCTCAGGTACCCTTCGTTGTACAGAGTGCCTTCCATCAGCTTTGGCTGGTGGTCCAAAATCCTGAGAAGTGTGATTTGTTGAGGGCACTGATAGTTGTTAGGAGACCCATTTTCTCTTCACAGAGCTACAATTCCTAGAGTGTTTTGTCAATCAATCCCAGGGAATTCTGAGAACTGCAGCTTCACTGCCCTCAACAAATTAACTTTCCAGGATTCTTTGGGGAGGGAACCATGACTATTAAAAGGAGTATAATAGTGCTTTGAATGAATGGAATGGTACTCAGCTAAGTTTTACTCAAAAGTAGACCTGTTGGACTGGATTCAACAAAATAGATATGCTAGCAGGAGTCAGCACAACAGGGCTTTTACCCCTTTCTCCTCCCCCTGTGTGCCCCCACCCCATCACCTCTAAGGAGTCAGGAGAAACCCCAGAACAACATTTCATATAATAGTTCTTTAACTGCATGGTTTATGGTTTGGATGTGACTGATTAACTGAATAGCATCATAGATAAGTTATGATGGTGCACCAATTCCTGATTTTTTGAGCTTGGCTGATAGCCATTATAACCAAAAAAATGATATGATTGTAACAATGGACTGTGAAGGGTTATCCCTTCTTTACATTCTTGATAATCGTTGCTCAAATATTACATGTATTGAAGCAACCTCATTCTCGGTATGTTTTTCAACCAGTTCTATGATTCAATCAATAAAAACTCACATGAAAGTTCAGGGGGTGTAAGATACGTGACTTGGAGGTGTGTTTGAGTGTGTGAAAGAGGGATTTGCTCTGCTCCAAACTGCTCCTTTGCATTTTATTTACCATGGTTGCCATTTCAAGCCACACCTTTCCGTTTAAGATCGGGACTTGTCAATGAAGGAAGTTAATGTTTGATCAAAACCCTGCAGAGAGGCTTAGAAACTGCCAAGGGTTCTGAGAGACACAGGCAGGCACCACCATCTTGGGCAGGTGTGGAAATACCCTTCAGAACAGATCAAGGTTTTTGTGCACCAGGTAAGAGGTGATCTTTTAAACAAGTTTTATTGGGGAGGTTTTCATACCGTATGAGATTCTTTTGATCGTTCTTGTCAGTGAGAATTTGCTTCCCTGCTGCTTGTGAGGGCTGTTTGCTGTTACCAGCCAGTCTCTGTTAGGAGTTTCTTTTGTTTGTTACAAAATCCAAAAGTTCTTTTGTGGAGGACTAGGCTACCAGTGGCTATTAGCCACAATGGGTATGTTCTTCTACCTGCACTGCTGGCGGCAGTGTTTCTTGAATGCCAGTATAGTGGTACCTCAGGTTAAGTACTTAATTCCTTCCGGAGGTCTGTTCTTAACCAGAAACTGTTCTTAACCTGAAGCACCACCTTAGCTAATGGGGCCTTCTGCTCCTGCTGCGCCACTGCCGCGTGATTTCTGTTCTCACCCTGAAGCAAAGTTCTTAACCCGAGGGACTATTTCTGGGCTAGCGGAGTCTGTAACCTGAAGCGTATGTAACCTGAAGTGTATGTAACCCGAGGTCCCACTTTAGCTGAGAATCACAAGTGAGGAGAGCATTGTTGTACCCACGTCCTGCTTTCATATATCTGCAGGTAGAACTGGAGGGAACTAGAGAGAGAAAAGGGGAGCTTGCACTAAGCATCCTCCCTAGAGGAAGGGTGCAGACAGTGGACTGTATGATAACAGTACTGAGCCCCTATTATTGCACTCTCAATAGCATCCCTGCTGGGGGTTCCCTCGGTTCCCTGCTACTTTGAAAGCCCTCTCTGTTTCTGGGGGAAAGAGTTCCTTAGTTTGTGCCTTGATTCGTCCCACTTGGAGTCTATTTTCTATCCACCTTTGATTATAAAGAACCAAGAGAAACCTCAGTCCCTTACATTATAGGGCAGTTAAGACAGGATATTGTTTTTAGGTCCAAAGGTTCTTTTCCTCCAGTGCAAAGAGCTTTCTCAGGTGGAGGAAGCCTCCTTCTGACTGAGGAGGGAAACCTTTGGATCCAATCCGTCTGCTTGCTGTGGGGCAGAAGAAGGGACTTATTGCAAAGGAGACCCTATGCACCATAATCTGTGCTTGTCCTACCTTCCTGCCAACTCCCCTTGCTTAACTGGTGATTTGCTTTGTCTGAGTTTTCCTTTTATCTAAAAAGAAAATCTGATACCTACTACCTCCCAATGAACAAAGGGGAGTCATATCCTCGTGGGAAAGGGTTTTTCTGTCTGGAGAGGCCCCATGGTGGTTCGCAGTGGTGGCTGCTGCCCATTGTGACAGGCAGGGAGGCCAACAGTAGATGGCGCCAGAGGAGCTGAACCAGCTAATTCTGGTTTTATTCCTGTCCTCCTCCCTGCAGAGTTCTACCGGGGGAACACTAAGGAGAATGCTGACAGGCAGTGGCAGCCCCTGAATTGGTTGTAAGGAACAAAACAGGCAGGTGGGGCTGGCTGAGGGGAAACTGAGGTTGCTGGGCCAGCGCTCCATTAGCCCCTTCCACTGGTAGTACAGTTGAATGGAGTTACTTGCTTGCCTGAACATTTAAACCTGCTCATAACAGCTACTCAAGATCTTTTCTATGAATGTTTTATAGGAATTGGAATAATTGGAATGGAAGTTCTCACCAAGATGCTTAAAATATATCCACATCACTTTGGGTGTCTCCTCATACTTCATCTGGTAAGTCAAGTAACACCATAGGAACTCTCTAAATAACTGTTTGGGAAGAAACACTTTATTCTGGCCATATGCCATGGCAAGTTCAGAGATCACGATGGGAAGAGTCTTTCATTGTGTGCTTTGTTTGTTAATTTATTTATTTATACATTTTCTAATTTGCGCTAATCCAGAGGATCATGGCAGGAAAATCAATGTCCTTTTCCCACAGCAGCAACAGATAGATAGGAGACAGGGATTGTCCCTTGTTTGAGTTAATGAATGCGGAGAAATTGCTTGTGAAAATTTATCAGCATTATAGAGTGACTTTCTCCTGGTGTAAAGTTTTTGTATGCTTTCTTTGGGCAATATATACATTTTCGCAAGCAATTTCTCCATATGTAATGCGTTTTTTGTAATTTTCATGAATACAGTGGTACCTCGGGTTAAGTACTTAATTCGTTCCATACGTCCGTTCTTAACTTGAAACTGTTCTTAAGCTGAAGCACCACTTTAGCTAATGGGGCCTCCTGCTGCTGCCCTGCCGCCGGGGCACGATTTCTGTTCTCATCCTGAAGCAAAGTTCTTAACCCGAGGTACTATTTCTGGGTTAGCGGAGTCTGTAACCTGAAGCGTCTTTAACCTGAAGCATATGTAACCCGAGGTACCACTGTATGTGTATTTTATGCATTCTTTCCCCTAACAGACACATTTTTGTACAACTGGAGAACCGCACCGCAAAATTTAGAGAAGGCTGAGTTTTGAAAGATAATTGCTGTCTGGTTTGTGCATTGCTTTAGGAAGTGAGAATTAAGGAGTCAAATATCTTCCCCATTCCTAGCAATAAGTGGACACCTGCACAATTTTGGGAAACTTATTTTTTAAAAAAATACTTTCATTTTTAAAATTAATGTTCAAGAAAGTTTGGAAGCTGTTCAGTTCCTAACTGTACAATACCAGCACAGGAGAAAGCAGCAAACAGCATTAAGACTAACATAGCAGAGCAATGCATCACCCATTTGTAAACCTTTCATTTTAAATTTTTGGAGAGAAAAAAGTGGGATGTGCTTCTTGAGTCCCACCTAGGGATGGGGGAGAAATTTGTTTCACTTTACAATTTTAGACAAATCAACCTAATTTCCAGTATCTGAAACAGTACACAAACCAAAAGACAGCCATTCTCTGGAATTTGTAATGCAGTGCCCCAAGAAGAAGAAAAGTTTTAAGATTTGTATTTTAGGGGGAAATGTGAATAAAAATGCATATGCTTCTGAGAATAACATATTGTTACAGGCCACCCAAATCTGCATAGCAGTGTGAGATTCCAGGAGTTTCAACTGCATTCACCCAGGGTCTGTGTTTCCTTTTGGACAATGAGGCACATCAGAGACTGTGGTGTCTTCATGATATATGGTTTATTTACACACAGTGCTTTTTTCTGAGGGGACGCAGGGGTACGCATACCCCTAAACATTTTGTGAACCTAAGTTTGGCCTCATTGAGGGGCAATATTTCAATATGAGTAGGAAAATGAGAGTCCCCCTAAACATTTTTTTAAAGAAAAAAGCACTCTTTACACATATATCAAACCTGAGCCCACGATGGAGGTGCTGACAGCACTGAGGCTCCAAGATGTTCTTGCTTCTTCCATAGTCACAGCAGCCTTGGACTTAAGCAGACCTCAGCCATTGCTCTTATTTATTGACTCTCCCTCCATCCTGCTGCTTACCATCTCCAGTGCAACCCTAACTCCTAACTGCAATCCTAACACCTCCACTCCAAAAAACGCTGGCGCTGGCTTTTAAAACTAACTTTCAATTGAGGGAGGGAGCCCACTCATTTGCAAAAGAGATATACCCTTGATCTTTTGTCATCCTGATCATTCATTCCCCCCGCCTCCCAGACTACTGCCTCAAGTTAGTCCTGGCTTAATTAGCTTTTGACACACCACAGGAAGCAAACCTACACATGTTTACCCCATTCTATTTAATGGGACTTCCAATTAACTTTGCATAGGATTGCAGTCTGTTAGGACTAGTAGAAATCAGTGTGGCTTTGGGGTAGAGGTATTAGAAGCAATACTTTAGCATGTTGACACTTAACTAAACCCTCTGCCCAGAAGCTCCCTTACAACTGACCTGTATGTTGTCATCCTTGAGTGGGATATCTATGGAAAGAAATACGATATTTAAAATATATATCAAATTAAGTTAAATTATTCCCTCTATTTCTAAAGTTCAGAGGGGAATGTGGATCCTTATGTAGCCAGAGAGGAATAATATATCACGAAGCTTATGGGAACCCTGAGGTTGGCAGAAGTACAAAAGTCCTTTGGAAGAAAACCCCCAAAATAGCCCCATGAAGACTGAAGCAGACTCAGTGGCCATGGAATGCTGACATATTGCTGGGGAAGCGAGTGGGAATGGAATGGAGTATTTTTGAGAAGGGTGTGGCTGGTTAAACAGCAATACTACACTCTGCAAAAATTTGTTGCAGATCCCACTTGTCAATAGCACAATACCTATTTTTTTCTCTGAGAACCAAATGTCCATTTATATTTTAAAAAGCAGATATATTTCATAATTATATTGTGGAACAGGCACCCAACAATACTTCTTCATACCTCTGACTTGATATATGGCATGATTGGATTTAACCTAATTTGGTTTTTCAGCACCAAATTAACTGGTTTGCTGTCATCAGACAAAAGCACCACAGTCCAGTATCAGTGACCCACACTACATTATGCCCACAAACTACATATTCATCTCCTTGACGTCCCCATGACTTTTGTGTGTCTGATTTGGAGTATACTTTTCCCCAGGCAGGTGATCTGGATTGTCTGCTCCCTCTGCAAATCAGACAAGCCGTAGGCAGGAGTGGCCCAAGACATTTTGCACCTTCCCAAATCCATGTCCAGAAGCCAATCAGACTGGCAGTGGTATCTTGCTTTATTAGCTATCCTGTAACAGTATTCTCATTGGCAGTAGGAGCAGCAAGCTACCTTAGACCACACAACACAAGCCATTTGGCACACACAGCTCTGTCCTCCAACACCTGCCCACCCAGCACTGCCGCCTGAGGCAGCTATCTCTACTGGTATAGCTTGCCCTGGCAGTATAAAGGGTAAAGGGTAAAGGACTCCTGGACGGTTAAGTCCAGTCAAAGGCGACTATGGGATTGTCGCGCTCATCTTGCTTTCAGCCGACGTTTGTCTGCAGACAGCTTTCTGGGTCATGTGGCCAGAATGACTAAACCACTTCTGGCACAACAGGACACTGCTGGACGGAAACCAGAGCACACGGAAAAGCCATTTACCTTCCTGCCACAGTGGTACCTAGTGTGCTTTCGAACTGCTAGATTAGGCATGAGCTGGGACAGAGCAACAGGAGCTCACCCTGTTGCGGGCATTTGAACCGCCAACCTTCTGTTCAGCAAGACCAAGAGGCTCAGTGGTTTAGTAATGGTCAGTCCCCTACTGAACAAACGATAAGGATGGCTCACGCTTCCTGCATATTCTAAAGGAAACAAATAATATCTGCTTTCTCTTCTGCTGCAAGAGAACAGGAAACCTTGTTGTAGACATGGAACCATGGATTTTTGTACTATGGCTGCTGCCTCTGACCTGACGTGAGATCCTATGAATCATCATGCTGCTTTTTAAATATTTCTTGCCAGGGATTTTACTGACGGTTGAAACTGTCCTTTGCTTGCAGCCATTTTATGCAGGCGTTGGAGCAGCTGCCAAACAGTAAATGGAACGAGGAAATAGAAGGAAGTGCCCCTCCTCACTGTTTCATTAAATAATGATTCACCAGGCAGCCCAACATTTTACAGCTCACATAAAACATTTCTAATTGACAGGGAAGGATCTATACACTGATATAAGAACTAAACTTTGAACCCTGGATTTCGGTTAGAGAATTGGACTTTGCTCTTTCCAAACAGACATATTTCCCTATAAAATATGACAAAAGCAGACCTCTATAAACACTTCACCCAATAAAAGATCTTGTTTAATTATACAGAGCTCAGTGTATTCCTTTCACCCATTTCGAAAAAAGGAAATGCTATGAACATCATTGGGGCCTTTGGCACAATGTAAGCTAGTGGAACAGATAAACTAGAGAACTAGAGAACCTAAATTAGGATAGGAGCACACACACAATTTAAAATGGAGAGACATTCATGCATAATTGCTAAACCATGGCTTGGCCATCAAGGGCATGCATATTCCCGTTTCTCCTCACATGTTCTGATTCTGTAACTTAGTCCCACAAATCAAGCAACCAACAGGTTGTCTCTAAGACAGAATCTGAAAATCACTTCAGATGATTGGTTCCAGTTCTGGTTTAGAAGCAATCTCTAGTTTATCAGAACTGGGCATCATAGTAAACTATGGTTTGGCCAAACCAGGAAGTGAAGGAAGAAGCTAGAGCTTGAGATGGTGAGATGGAAGGGGAATAGGAGGCAGGAGCACATAAGCCTGAGCTGGTGTAGTGAGAGAGAAATGCCTCACCTTCTGCTCTGGCAGGTGTGAACTAGCAGAGCTTGAGAAGCAGCAGTGTATCTGCCACTCTGCTCTACCCACCTTTGGATTGCTCTGAAATTAAAACAAAGGTTCCCCAGCTGTAAGAACTTGTAGAACAGATGATTGTATATGTATTTATAATGAAGGATAAAGGCAAAGAAGAAAAGGTAAAACAGTTGATTAAAGGACAAAGAATGATACTCCTTTTCAAGTATTCATTCTTTGAAAAAAAAATGGAACTAGAACAAAAATTTCCTCAGAACACAGTGTTAGTTGTGGGCTGTTCTATGTACAAGCAAAATATATTAAGGGGTGGGAGGTAAGGGATCACTAGAAAATGGACTCCATGCCAAATGTTTGTCTTTGGCAAAAAAGACCACCTTAGCCTTCGCAGTATCAGTCAAATGAAAGTCTGAAAGAAATGTCCCATGTGCCTTTAGTTTAGAAGGGCAATAGAGCATATGCGTTGGAAAAAGCTTTGCTTTACAGCATCTATTATCTCTACAGGAGCTCTTGCAAGATACTAGGTGGGGAATCAACCTTCGAACAACATGTGCACATGCAACACTTTAATGGACTGTTGAACTTGAGTCATTCCACCCACCCATGAATGCTCTGTAGTCACCCTAGCATTTATGACAAAAGGCAATATACCCTGATCCTATTGTGGAAACAGCATATAAGAACTATGCATCTGTTACGAAATGCATGTTTGGCTCCAGAAGGTAGCTACTTGCATTTCATGAGCTCAGTGGGACCAACTTTCAAGTGTGTGTAGGATTGCATCTTTACTTACACAGGCTTCATTGTTCTAAGCAGCTTGAATGAGTTTGCAAATACTCACAGTATGCTAAATCTTCCATTTTCACCATTCACATTTTCTAGTGGGGAACTGCAAAGGAAAGAATCAATTCACATTCTATAACTGATTATTTTCGAACTCTAAAATCTGAAAGTCAAATTCTCTTGTGGGCATCTCTGGATTGCTTAGACTTCTGCAAACTTCACATATAAAAACTTAGAAGCTATGTTACTGCTAAATAGCTATCTATTCATCTATATTATTGTGTCACACAGTATCTATCAAATGTTGTAAGGAGAAATTCCCTTTTTCAGCCAATGCAGTGTCACCGCTGCTGCAACAATGACACAGAATTACAATTATATCGCCCTGGTAGGAGGACCAAAGTTTTATTAACTAATATTGACAATATTAATAATCTGGGACCCTTTCTCATTTTTCCTGCAGGTCATTTGCCAAGGTACAGATGACCCACATATAAGTGGGCCTCTGGAGGACAAGACTTTTTCTGTTCAAGAAGGGAGGACAGGAATCACCTATATCTATCGGGTAAACGGATGTCTAAAGTCTTCACTTTCAAAACTGTTTGATATTTGAGAATGGGAAACTGGAGTTCTGATTTGTTTCTTTTTCCTCATGTACTAGTTTACATTGCAACCTCCGACTGTCAAGCTGAGACTGACTGGTGTGACAGACGGCAAAATATATATTTACCCGAAAGATTGGTCTCTGTATGTTAATGGGTCTCTGGACTGGGAAACCAGAAACGTCTACAATCTACAGGTAAAAGAAAGATGTGGCATTTTTGTTTCTTTCTAATATTTTATTTAAATACTCCCAGTCAAAGCCCTCTCAAGTTGGCTTCCAAGTACACTATAACTAAGTACAGCCATAAAAATGAATAAAAACCAGTCATAAAAGCAACATCCATCTCAAAAAATACTAACCCATCACAATGACCATAGGGACATAGGAAGCTGCCTTACACACCAAGTTACACCACTTGTCCATCTTACCCAGTACTGACTGCACTGGCTGGCAGTGGCTCTCCAGGGTTTCAGACCAGAAATCTTTCCCACTCCTACCTGGAAATGCTAGAGATTGAACCTAGGAGCCTTTGCATGCAAGACAGAAACTCTATCACTGCCCTATGGCCCTTTCCCTTAGAACCAATAGGTAAAGGTAAAAGGTAAAGGACCCATGGATGGTTAAGTCCAGTCAAAGGTGTTATGTACTGAGTTGAATAGGATCCAAAATGCAGCAGCCTCATTGGTCCTAGAACAATAGGATCCAAAATGCAGCAGTCTGGTCCTAGAACAATAGGATTCAGAATGCAGCAGTATGATTGGTCCTAGAACAATAGGATCCAGAATGCAGCAGTTGGTCCGCAGGAGCCACCCAATCCAGCTCCAGGTGGAAGTGAATCCGCAACCTGATTGGCCTACAGGAGAATCCCGGAATTAGCCAATCACGTGGGACTCATTGTGTAAATAATGTATATAAAGCAGACATTTTGGGGGAACTAGCATTCCTCACTACTATGAGCTGAATAAAGAGCATGAAATCCACACTCGACTCCGAGTATATTTCAAAAGGTGACTATGGGGTTGCGGTGCTCATCTCGCTTTCAGGCTGAGGGAGCTGCTGTTTGTCCACAGACAGCTTTCTGGGTCATGTGGCCAGCATGACTAAACCGCTTCTGGCGCAACGGAACACCGTGACGAAAACCAGAGTGCATGGAAACACTGTTTACCTTCCCGCCACAGTGGTACCTATTTATCTACTTGCACTGGCATGCTTACGAACTGCTTGGCCCTAAGAATTGGCTCCTATGACTCAGTTGCAGGCATTATTGGACTCTTAGGGTATACTCAGGGCTTTTTTCCAGCTGGAACTCACAGGAACTCAGTTCCGGCACTCTCAGGTTGGGAACATTGCCATTATAAGAGAACAAGGGAGACGTTCATGGTGAGTTCTGGCACCTCTTTTTCTAGAAAAATAGTACTGGGTATACTGATTATTTGGACCCATTCCAATTTAGGTTCAGTCCTGGATCCAGGACCAAATGAGCTTTCATCGCCTAATGAATGATCATTATCAAGAGAAGGATGATATGAGGCAGAGGACAGGAAACCACAATGGTATTTCCATATCACTCCTAACATGCAGTTCCATCCTAGCCAATTCAACTCAAACATGGAACGACAAAACTTTGTGACTTACCGTAAACTGCTTAAAGGTTTTGTTACAATGAGGTGGTACCTAAATCTTGTTAGATATACTTATTGAATGACCTTGTTTTGATATCTCTTCTTTCTGCCTCAAATTAGGTGGAAGGTCTGGATGAAAATGGGCAGAGAGTGAAAGGCCCATATTCTATCACAATAAATGTTATCGATGTCAATGACAACCCTCCACAATTTTCGCAGAGAGAGTACTTCGCAGCAGTGAGACAAAACTCCCGCCCAGGTATTTATTTCCACATTTACTTGACATTATTTGGGGCTTGTAATGATTGACAAATATGACATTAAGCTTAACTTAAAACTGTGATTGTTAAGCTGTGTCCGAGGTGAAGAAAGGGGGGAAAGCAGAGGAGCTAAAAATTTCATAGACAATACCAAAGCTACTCTTTCGTTACAGAAGAGGTTATCCACTTCCCAAGTATAGTCATACCTCGGGTTGAAGTAGCTTCAGGATAAGTATTTTCGGGTTGAGCGCTGCAGCGACCTGGAAGTAACAGAGCATGTTACTTCCGGGTTTCGCCGCTCGCACACGCATCAACGGTCAAAATGACGTCATGCGCAGAAGCGGCGAATCATGACCCGTGGACACGCAGGCGCGCGGACGCAGTTTACGTTCACTTCTGGATGCGAACGGGGCTCTGGAACGGATCCCGTTCCCATCCAGAGGTACCACTGTACAACTTGCACCATCACTAAGCATACAATTGCAGGGGATCCCTGATCTCATGACTCTCCAGTTTGCGTGCATATGTGTTTCAGTTGTGTGTTTGGTACCTCATCTGGAAAGCTGTGCTCATTGTGGGCTGAGTAGTATATTATCCCACTTCTTTTCAAGTGGCTATGGTTGAGTCTGGCCAAACCTCCCCATTTCCACATTTCTCCCCCCTCTGGGTACCACAGCTGGGAATGTGAACCTGAAAGCTGACAAAATGGAGATTCAAATGACATAAAATAAGAGGGTAAATGCACAGTAATCATGAAACCCAGAAAGGTGTGGTTTTTGTGTGTGTGTTTTTGTAATTTGCTTGTCAAGTAAAATCAGCCAGAGGTAAATCAAACCCTTTCTCTTTTTATGTGGCATGGCAACCATTTATTTGTTTTGTGTGCCATGAAGACCAAATGAGAAAGCCACTTTGAACTCACAGAAACTTATGGAAAGATCTACCTGATTAAGGACTCAGGTTATTATTGTGCCTGTCTGGTATGCAGATACCAGATTGTCTGTTGTCATTCTCTTAACAGAATAAACAATCAGCCACTTTGGTCTTTGTTCGTGGTATATGTTTATTTATTGTTAGATATGCTTGTTCCAAGCTGTGAAAATAAAAAAATAAATTTCTAAATGAATAGCTCCAGAAAGTTAAAAATCCCAATGTGAAAGGTCACTATCATATTTTTACCTAGTGTGCTAGAATGCCAAGAAGACCTATTGATCTTTCTATTTTATAAACCAGGAATTTTGCTGTTTATTGTTCTGAAAACATTGCCCGGTTCCTTTAAACTAGAAAATTGTGGATTACTGTCGGTGGTTCATCTTCAGTGGAGAATGATACCTTCTGTTTGTCTTTTTGATATGTCTTTATTTTTCTTTTTACACCCAAACAGGAAAGCCCTTCACATATGTCACTGCTACTGATCGTGATGATCCCACCACTCCTCATGCGCAACTGAGCTACAGCATTAGCAAACATTTCCCAGACCCTCATCAAACGATGCTTTTCCAGATTAACAATGTCACTGGAGCAATTTCCACAACTGCTGCTGGTAGGCAAGTCTACTTGTGGAACCAAGTTCCAAACAACTAAGCAGTCTGACTTGAAAAATTGGGCCAATCATTGTTAATAATATAAGGTGGTCACATCCAACCCCCCCCCAAATTTCTGAACTACTTAGATTTGTGGGGAAGAAGCAGCTTTGCAAATGTGCCTTGAATTTCTCAGTGAATGCCTAGTACAAACCAATAGCAAAACACCCTATATGTTTTAGTGAATGTGAGATCAGATTCTATGCTACTTTTGTTAAGTTGTTTTGTTCTCTGAGACGAAGGTAGAAGCCAGAACAAGACATATACCCCCAGACATTCCGGAAGTCAGTTCTTAAACCGAAACCATTCTAAAACTGAGGTGCAGTTTCCCTAATGAGGCCTCCCACCCCCGGTACCCTTCCACTATTTGAATTCCGTTCTTAGACCAAGGTAGAGTTTGCGAACCGGGACACTACTTCTGGTTTTGTGGAGTTCATAAACCCAATCGTTCGTAAACAGGACAGTTCTTAAACCGAGGTACCACTGTAGAGTAAAGTCTGTATGTAAACGATGGCTTGCAAAATTGGACATAGATTTAGGAATATGCATTCCTTCCCTCCCTTTTTTGAATTAAGTTCCTCCTCCCTTCCTTTGCCAGTATTAGCTATGGTTTAGTTTTACATGTGCAGCAATGTAGGTGATTACATTTAAGACCCTTTATGTTTGGATACTAGATTACTTGCAAGACTACCATCCCTCATATATGAACCTGACTTCTTGTTGAAGACATAAGCACAGGCTCGCTTAAGTGTTTCAGATATCTCAGTGGTCTTTCTTGTCAGATTCAAGGAAAGAAAGTCTTATCAGAAGTTGTATCAAGGCTTTGGACATCTCTCCTGAATAATGATTGTCTTGCCTCAAACTCCTACAGTCTTCTGCCATATGTTAAGATCTTTCTTGTTTTAGTAAGCATACATGTCCAACCTAGTTTTAGGGCACAATCCTAATTTCTCCCCACTCCTGCTGATGGGGTTTTGCAGAGCAGTTTGGCCATGTGGCCAGGTTTGGCAGATGGCAAGACACCAGCTGAACCAGGATACCAGGGCAGAGGGACACGCAGGCCATAAAGGAGGGTTTGGATTGCGCCGCCGCCTATGACAATTCTTTTACTGCTGTTTCTATGGAAAATTCTTTGCTCCAAATCATCATCATCATCATCTCACTGTTTCAAACTGAAGTGTGCTGTCAGTTTGGACCTTATTGTTTTCTGTTTATGCTAGGAAGCATCTTGGACTATTTTGTAGGAGAGGCATGATATAATTGTTTTAAATTAGAGGAACGTATACACCAGGCAAAGGCAAACTCGGCCCTCCAGATATTTTGGGACTACAATTCCCATCATCCCTGACCACTAGTCCTGTTAGCTAGGGATGATGGGAGTTGTAGTCCCAAAACTTCTGGAAAACCGAGTTTGCCTATGCCTGGTATACACCAATGAAGGACACGAGGGAGGAATTCATTCTAGAGAGAAGAAAAGAGGGGGAGGCATGTGAATTTTTAGTGACAGGTGAACCATGGTTTTCAAGGAATGAGTATCATGGTTTTGCTAGAAAGCAAAGGGAGAGATAGAGAAAGATATCTAAAGGAGACATTATGATAACTGCTGTTGATGTCCATGTAACCTAGTTAACCAGAACTACAAAATACTTGTGTTTCCCCCCAGGAGTAATGGGTTCAGTACCTGTCAACAGTAGTGACGTGATTATGATATTTGTGTGAGCTGCCAAAAAGATAGCCATGGTGAAGGCTGCCAAGGAGTGCTTTTTTCTGGGGGGGGGGGGGACGCAGGGGGACGCATACCCTGAAACATTTTGTGAATCTAAGTTTGGCCTCATTGAGGGGCAGTATTTCAATATGAGTAGGAAAATGAGAGTACCCCTAAACATATTTTTAAAGAAAAAAAGCACTGCTGCGAAGTGAAGGGAGGGGAAATTTTCTCTGGGTGAAAAATGCATGTCATTATTTGCAACCTTTGCAATATTACATTTGCAGAGGGTTTTTGTCAAGAGAACGTTGGTGCCAGTTCAATAATTGTTTCATTTATTCTATGTTTGATTTCCAGGAGCTAAGTATTTAAATCCAGCAGATGGGATCAATTATACCATTGCTGTGAGAGTAAAAGATATGGCAGGGCAGTCAGAGAATTCCTTCCCCAGCGATGCTGACGTGATTGTCACCGTGTTGGAAAACCTCTGGAAGTCTCCTCCACTAGTAAAGCTCAAGGAAAATTCTACAGAGCCACACCCCATGAGAATCACTCAGGTAAGATATGGCAATCGCCAACAAGCCCAGGAATCAAATCTACCATCCAAAGTCTGATTTTCAATTTCCCATGTTTATGTGCTCCATTCATCCACAAAACCATTACCACAGACGTACAATTAAAGACTGGGTCACATCTCAGGGAAAACCTTTTTAAACAAAAATGTCTCCAGTAGGCACCTAGCTATCATGATACTAGGCACCTGTCTTGATTCCAGAGGGCTGGAGTTGCAACACTAAAAGCCCACAGTTTCTAGTGCAAGCTAAGCACCCCTTTGGGGCATGTGGCACTCTCAACAGTGCCCATCTGAGGACCGCAGTTGCTAGGCATGGATATATGGAGGGTTTAAACCTGCTGTTTTACTCTTCTTTGAAATGATAGGTGCAGTGGAATGATCCAGGTGCAAAATATGAAATCCGGCAAAAGGAAACGCCCCCCACTAAACTCCCATTTATGGTTGCCCAGAACGGGACTGTCTATGTAACTGAACCACTAGACAGAGAAGTAAAAGATGCGGTAAGTATTTGAAAAAGGGCTGTCAATATACTTTTAAAGATGGAGGAAGCTAAATGATTGTAGGCATGTCACTACTGATACTCCAAATGTTGATCTGGTGTCTTTTTTTGTTTGGTTTGCATGGCTGCACACTAAATCAGGGGTGGAGAATTGGTGGACATGCACCTATTTTTGGACTCCAACTCCAAATAGCCTCTGGGCAGATCCATGCCACACATTTAAATCACATGACTCCCCCCCCCAAGAATTTTGGGAACTGTAGTTTGTTATGGGTGCTAGGAATTGTAGCTATGTGGAGGAAACTACAGTTCCCAGGATACTTTCGGGGAATTCATATGCTTCACATGTGGGCTGGGTGTGCTCTGAAACCAAGGTGTGGATCTGCCACGGCTGATGGTTAGCAAGGATAGGAATTGTAGTCCAGTAACATCTGGAGGGACACGGGTGGTGCTGTGGGTTAAACCACAGAGCCTAGGACTTGCCGATCACAAGGTCGGCGGTTCAGATCCCCTCGACAGGGTGAGCTCCCGTTGCTCGGTCCCTGCTCCTGCCAACCCAGCAGTTCGAAAGCACGTCAAAGTGCAAGTAGATAAATAGGTACCGCTCCGGCGGGAAGGTAAACGGTGTTTCCGTGCGCTGCTCTGGTTCGCCAGAAGTGGCTTAGTCATGCTGGCCACATGAGATGAGCGCCTCAACCCCAGAGTCGGTCACGACTGGACCTTATGGTCAGGGGTCCCTTTACCTTTAACATCCGAGGGCTAATGGTTAGGATGAATCTGACAATTTTGGTTTCTTTCATTTCCCCCCTAACCTTAATTTCAGTTGGATCCATTTCTGCATCAGTTTGCCATCTTTTAAAAGAAAAAATCCTATGAAATTGTGTAAACATTTTTGTATGCATTTCCACTAACATACAGATTTTTGCAAGCAATTTCTCCTAATATAATGCATTTCTATAATACATTTCCCAATATGCTGCACATTATTTTCACTGTCATATAAACTGTGCCTTTTTGTGCACAATTTCCCCTAATGTGTGCTTTTTCTGTACTCATTTTTTTTCTTGCATGGAAAAACAAACAAGATGAATTTTAACAGGGAGAAATGTAAAGTATTGCACTTGGGCAAAAAAAATGAGAGGCACAAATACAAGATGGGTGACACCTGGCTTGAGAGCAGTACATGTGAAAAGGATCTAGGAGTCTTGGTTGACCACAAACTTGACATAAGTCAACAGTGTGACGCGGCAGCTAAAAAAGCCAATGCAATTCTGGGCTGCATCAATAGGAGTATAGCATCTAGATCAAGGGAAGTAATAGTACCACTGTATTCTGCTCTGGTCAGACCTCACCTGGAGTACTGTGTCCAGTTCTGGGCACCACAGTTCAAGAAGGACACTGACAAACTGGAACGTGTCCAGAGGAGGGCAACCAAAATGGTCAAAGGCCTGGAAATGATGCCTTATGAGGAATGGCTAAGGGAGCTGGGCGTGTTTAGCCTGGAGAAGAGGAGGTTAAGGGGTGATATGATAGCCATGTTCAAATATATAAAAGGATGTCACATAGAGGAGGGAGAAAGGTTGTTTTCTGCTGCTCCAGAGAAGCGGACATGGAGCAATGGATCCAAACTACAAGAAAGAAGATTCCACCTAAACATTAGGAAGAACTTCCTGACAGTAAGAGCTGTTCGACAGTGGAATTTGCTGCCAAGGAGTGTGGTGGAGTCTCCTTCTTTGGAGGTCTTTAAGCAGAGGCTTGACAGCCATATGTCAGGAGTGCTCTGATGGTGTTTCCTGCTTGGCAGGGGGTTGGACTCGATGGCCCTTGTGGTCTCTTCCAACTCTATGATTCTATGATTCTATGAAACTTCAGCGCAAATTTTCAAGGACTCACATATTGATTTGGAAAGTACGAATTTGGTCGATTTGCATTCAGATGCAAATGGAACCAATTCCTCCCCACTTCCACCCAGAGCTACATATAACCCATTGCAGGACTAAAATAAACATTCACTATTGTTGCAATTCCTAATCACAATATTCCCATTTTAGTATTCCTTTTACGTGGTTGCAAAAGATAAAGACGAAGACATAGCACTATCCTATCCACTGACCATTAACGTCACAGTTGAAGACATCAATGATAATCCCCCTGTGTGTGACAAAGCTTTGACTATATTTGAAGTTCAGGACAACGAACCCGTAGGTAAGGAAACACGACAAAAATTTACCAGGCAGCTCCCTTGGTAACCAGATAGCTGAAACCAGTGCCAACCTTAATCACAGTGCCAATCAAATGTGAGCAAAGGTACAATCATTTTGAATTTGGACAGTTGTGCCTCTAATATATTTCATGGTGCACCAGTCCCTCGCCTGCAGGCCTGTATTACTAGCAGCTGCGAGAATCGTGGGGCCATTTCAAGCTCTTTGTTCTACATTATTTAAAATACTGTCTTTCTGTTGCTTGGGATTGGTTCCTGAAATATTTTCACGAGTCTGTAATCCTGCACATCCTTTACCTGGGTGTTAACCCCACTGAACTCAATGGGGCTCACTTCTGGGTAGACAAAGGCTCACAACACAACATGTTTTGTTTTCATCTGCCTTGTGTTTATTTGCTGCTTGACTAATTTTGACTTTCTTTGCTGCCACCAGGGAATTTCATAGGAACTTTTCATGCTTCGGACAGAGATCAGGAAAACACTTTAAACTCCCGCCTCTCCTACGTCATTGTGGATCAGAGCCCCAAAGTGCCTTATGATAATATGTTTCTCATCGAACGCGGAACTGGGACGGTCAACTTACTTACCTCTGCCTTAAACAAGGAGCTAGTCTCTAACTACTCTTTGACAGTGGAGGTGACAGATTCAGGTTGGTATTGCTTGCCAAGGCCCTGTGACCCACAGTTCCCTAATGGATAATAAACACACAGGCATGAGCATTTTGGTTTATGGGTTGAAATAGGCCACAACTTTATGGGTTACAGATGTGAGCAGTTTGCCTTAGGCATTGGGTGAAGCCAGGCTATATCTCGACACCCGCCTGTCTGCAGGGACTCCATCTAAGGGTAAACCACCAATAGGGGGAGTCCTATGACTTACATCAAATAGGGGAACCCCAAGGGGTCCCTGTTAGGGTTGTGGCATGGCCCTAGCCCATGTCTGAGCATCAGACAGAATCCACACACATACATCGCAATCCCTTTAACAGGATACCCTTAATGAGGAGGGGCAGGCAGAGGCTACAACCTCTTCTACATCCAATTAAAGGCTTACCCAATGCCTAACTTCACAAAGTTGTGACGATTGCTATGAGGTAGACGAAAACCAAATGGTTGGTGCCACTTTGCCAAGTGGAAAAAAATCCCATCCGGCTCCAACAATATGTCCATCACCCATAGATTTCCACTCTGATGACGACTTCTTCTTCTTCTTCTTCTTCTTCTTCTAACATTTTTTATTGGTTTTAAACATCACAAATAAAATAGCATTATCATATTGACAGTTTTATTTTCAGTTCCTTTCCTAATAATCCCCCACATGAAATTTGCCACTATAAAGATTAAAAAAAACAACAACAACCCAGAAAGTTCCCATCATTAAAATAACACAGTCAGCAACAGAATAGAATAATAGAATAATCTTCCTAAATATCAAAATAGGCCTGAGTAGATGAAAATATAAGAAAAAGATCTACTGAATCAGGCCAATGGCCCATCCAGTCCAGCTCCCAGTTCTCCCAGTGGCCAGACATATGCCCATGGGAATCCTGAAGACAACAGCAGTCTCTCCACTGGTATTCAAAGGTATACTGCCCCCAGCAATGGAGGCAGACCACAGCCATCATGGCCGGTACCCATAAATGAGTTCTTAAACGTTCTTAAAACAACCAACTGATGAGGCCTTTGGGGAGGGTGTTCCAAAGGCTTAGCACTACAGCTTGAAAAGCTCATCTCTGAGAGGTTTTTAGCTGGCAATTCATCTGACTGCAGTATTGCTAGTTGGGTCTCCTCCAATGATCACAGAGAATAGTTTGGCTGGCTTCTAACAGCAGAGGCAGCCTGCTTGAAGTAGTCAATTGAAATGTTTGGGAACCCTTGTTCTACACAGAGCAGCCTTGGGCGTGATCCTGTCCTGTTCTTTTGCCAACAGCATTCCGAACGCTGTGCAACGTGCAGATCAATGTCATCGATACCAACGATCAGGTTCCAATCTTTGAAAAATCGGATGTGAGTGTTCTTTTAACTGGTTTTGCATTTGTAGTATCTAGAAAACGCCTCTCACTCGATCAGGGATCTTGGGACTCATTTCACGGAGGCAGAAAACACGTTTTAAATGTGTTGTAAAGTGAAATATACAAATGTGACACTAGAGGGCAAGAACGAGCTATGCAAAATTCAATGTATTTTTCAAAACTTTTTTTTTAAAAAAAGCATTTTCACAGCGTTTTTTATACGTGTGTAGATTCCACCTTGATCCAATAAATAATTGCCCCCTGACAATGAAAATGTGATATTGATGTAGAAGCAGGTTTTTGTGTATGCAGTTTCAGTTAGATATAAAATCATAGTGTTGGGCGGATTGTGGTAATACAGAGCCCAGAGTGAGGAAATAATTTGGCACCCTCTCCCCTCTTGCCTTCCATGTACATGTTGTCAAATGTACTACGTCATAGTTTTGCATTGGTTTGGTACCTTGTGTGTGTGTGTGTGTGTGTGTGTGTGTGTGTGTGTGTGAAACCATCCCCACTGCCCTAAACCAGGCGTTGTTTGGATGTGGCCCTTGTAGATGAGCGAGAGCCCACTGTCCACCTTTGTAACTGGTTCCACTGTCAAGCTATTTCTATCATTAAGAAGTTTCTCTTCATCTGTTCTGGTTGTTGTTGTTTCTTCTTTTCTCTTTAGTATGGCTCTATGACGCTTCCAGAAAACATACCATTAGGAACAGTAATACGGGAAATCCAAGCCACAGATGCTGACGAACCCTTCACTGGAAGCTCTCAGATTGTGTACAAAATCGATAAGGGAGACCCCAACAACACTTTTGTAATAGTGACAGATCGAAAAACAAACAGAGGATATGTTACAATTAATAAGGTGAATAAATTTTGTTTCTTTCCCTGATGGATCATGAGTAAAGAAAGCTTAACATTTAAGTGAGGTGGGCTTAAGAACTTGGCCATCCACTGAGGTAATTGGAGGAGACTCTTCTTGGCTACCCCACCTAAGGAAATTAAGCAAGCTGTGACCAAGGGCTGGGCCTTCTCTATCCTGTCAGCAAGACCATGGAATGCTCTTCTCAGAGTTTTGTACCTGACTTCCAGTTTTTAAAAAATCTATTGGTGGGAATGAACCTGTTGTTCTCCAAATGTTGCAAGACCACAATTCCCATCACCCTGACCTTTGGCCATGCCGATTGGGGCCAAAGGGAGCTGGAGTCCTACAATAGTTGGAGGGCCATTCCTGCTTTATCACATGTCAAAAACTGGTACAACATTAGTAATAATGCCTCTGAGGATGTTCAGAGCTAAATTTCCACCATACGGAGCAGCCATAGGGATTAGAGAACAGCTTTCAAGGCTTCCCCCAAAGATTCCTGGGATCTGTAGGTAACCCATCACAGAGCTGCAATACCCAGCATCCTTAACAAACTACACTTCCCAAGGTTCTTTGGGGGCAGGCATGTGATTTAAACATAGGGTGTGGATGTGACCAAGATCCATTACAGTGGTACCTCAGGTTACATATGCTTCAGGTTACAGACTCCGCTAACCCAGAAATAGTACCTCGGGTTAAGAACTTTGCTTCAGGATGAGAACAGAAATCGTTCTCCGGCGGGGCGGTAGCAGCAGGAGGCACCATTAGCTAAAGTGGTGCTTCAGGTTAAGAACAGTTTCAGGTTAAGAACGGACCTCCGGAACGAATTAAGTACTTAACGCGAGGTACCACTGTATTTGTTCATCTAGCTATTCCTGATACAACTGGGTTTTCTCTCCCTGCTTTCCTAGGCTCTTGATTTTGAAACAACTGATGTGTATAACCTCACAATCCAAGCCACAAATCCTGAACCTCTTGTGACTGGGGTACAGTACAATTTAAACTCCACTGCTTACTTGAGAGTCATAGTTATTAATGTGGAAGAAGCACCAGTTTTTCTCAAAACCACTCATACAGTTGATATACCTGAAAATGCTACTGTGGGTACTTTTTTGACAACAGCGACTGCCTTTGATCCAGAGGGTGACTCGATAAGGTAAAGATGAATTTCTCTCTAAACTTAATCATGGTCAAAGTAGACTTTACGTTAATCATATTGTTGAATTAAGGTGGCCAGCTGCAACAGAGAGCGGGACTCCTGCAACTTTAAAGGTTGTGTAGAAGAGGGGATTTCAGGGGGAAAGAAGATAAACATTTCTCTGGAAGATGGACACTCAGGGCTTGTAACTGTGTAGACATTATCTTTTTGCCCAGGCTTCCCCTGACCCATAAGATCGGACTCTGCTTTGATCTGTTTGAATTCCCTTAATACATATTTGCAATTTTTTTCTGTATTGTTTCATTTATTTAACAAAATTTATATCCCGCAGGATTGTAATAAAACATTGAAGCGGTTTACAAAAAGAGCTACATTTAAATTATCAACAAAAGACAGAAACAGGTTTTTAAAGACGTTCAAAAGATAATTAAAATCAGTGGTAAGCTAAAAAGGAGATTAAAACTCATGTCGACATTTTACATGTCCAGATAGGCTTGCCTAAACAAAAATGTTTTAAGCTGGTATTCAAAATAGTGTGGTGAAGGCACCCAGTTGATGTCAGTAAGCCAGCAGTTCTATAAAGTGTAGTTTCTGCCGCACTAAAAGATAAATTTCTTACAAGAGCAGAAACAAGTACCAGTATTATGTGGCACATACTGGGTAAGGCAATCCCGCAAGTAAACCAGCCCCAAGCTGTAAAGGACTTAATATACAAATAGTAATGATTTGTGAATTTGGGACGTTGAGGTCTGTGGAATATACAAATTGTAACACCTTGAACTTGGGACGCGGGTGGTGCTGTGGGTTAAACCACAGAGCCTAGGACTTGCCGATCAGAAGGTTGGCGGTTCAAATCCCTGCGACAGGATGAGCTCCCATTGCTCGGTCCCTGCTCCTGCCCACCCAGCAGTTTGAAAGCACGTCAAAGTACAAGTAGATAAATAGGTACCGCTCTGGCAGGAAGGTAAACAGCGTTTCCGTGCGCTGCTCTGGTTTGCCAGAAGCAGCTTAGTCATGCTGGCCACATGTACCCGGAAGCTGTACACTGGCTCCCTCGGCCAATAAAGCGAGATGAGTGTTGCAACCCCAGAGTCAGCCATGACTGGATCAAATGGTCAGGGGTTCCTTTACCTTTTAACACCTTGAGCTTAACCCAGTCTTTATTTTCATATGCTTTTATACTACTGTTTTACTGATTTTATGTTGTATTTTCGTTTTAGTGATACTGTTTTAATGTCAATTACTGCTTAGATACATACACTTATATACACTCAGGAAGTTGTGACCATTAGGTATGGTTCCCCTTCCTTTCTTTGCATTACAGGGAGGAGGAATGAGTCAATAGCGCTATAGCGTCCATGCAACTGTTTTGATAGGACATTCCTGCATCTGTAACCAGCTATCAGTGAAAGCACATCAGGCTTTATGAATAAGCTGGGTTCTTATATATTGGCCTTCTTCTTGCAAAGGTACGCCCTGAAAAGTGATGCCAGGAAGTGGCTGCGGATTGACCCTCTCAATGGCACAATATATACTGCTGCCCCGCTGGACCGGGAAACTCAACAAACCTACATGGTGCAAATAGTCGCAACTGAGCAAAGTAAGAAAAAAAAGAAAGGAAGGAAGTTACTCCCAAATTAGAGGTGACCCAGGACAAAGTGCCCCTCCCTGGCAGGCCCATCCTACATTGGTGCCCCTCCCCTTACATAATGGGTGTCAATGGCACCACCATTAAAAATGTCACACAGCTCCCCGGACTGATGCTACGTTAAGCACTCTGGGATTTTTAAAAGGATAGCTTATAGCTCTCTGGTACAAAGGGCAGATGTTTGTGCCAGTTGGCTACATACATAGCCTGGATAGATAATAATAATAATAATAATAATAATAATAATAATAATAATAATAATTTATTATTTGTACCCCGCCCATCTGGCTGGGTTTCCCCAGCCACTCTGAGCGGCTTCCAACAAAGATTAATGTCACACATTAAAAACTTCCCTGAACAGGGCTGCCTTCAGATGTCTTCTAAATGTCAGGTAGTTGTTTATCTCTTTGACATCTGATGGGAGGGTGTTCCACAGGGCGGGTGCCACTACCAAGAAGGCCCTCTGCCTGGTTCCCTGTAACTTTGCTTCTCGCAGTGAGGGAACCAGCAGAAGGCCCTCGGCACTGGACCTCAGCGTCCAGGCAGAACGATGGGGATGGATACGCTTCTTCAGGTATACTGGGCCAAGGCCAATTATATTTAGATATTTATAATTCCCAAATGCAGAAGCTTCATGCCCTCAAGAAAACATGTTGGATAGACAGGAGAAGATGGAGGAGTCTAACTCTCCCTCACTTGTTTTCTTCTTCTCCTTCAGTATCAACTAGCAATCTGTTCATCATTATTTTAAATGCAGAGAGGCTGGCACATACTATAGTCATGCATCCACATAAGAACATAGCAAATGATGCTCCCAAGTGCCACTGCTGGCATTTCACAGATGTCGGCATGCTGAACACCCCATCCCACTCAGTGGCAGAGAGCCTCTGAAACTTTGGAGAGCCCCTGCCCATCAGTGTGGAATATTGTTTTGCACTCTGTTCCACTCCACAGCTAAAGCATCTCGAAGCTCCACAGCACAGCTGAGACTGAACCTGAAAGATGTGAACGACAACCCTCCGAGGCTAGATAAGAACGTTGTGTTCTTCTGCCACCCTCTCCAAGGAAACGAGAAAACGAAAATCGAAGTTTCTGATCCGGATGAACGTTCATATGTTCAGAGATTCACTTATTCCCTTGTTGGTGCAGATGCAATACAAAACTGGAATGTTTCTAAACCTGATGGTAAGTTTTTGATCAGTTCCATGGCAAATGCAACCCCGATGCAACCGAGCTATCCATTTTAGGAAGGAGCTCTATAGCCTTTTTATGGGACTCTGAGTTAATTACGTATATATTTTCAGAGATGAGGAAACTCTGATCTTCCAGGGGTTGCTGAACTCCAACTCCCATCATCCCTAACATTAGCCCATGCAAGCTGAGGCTTATGGGAGCTGGAGTCCAATAATATCTGGAAGGCCTCAGGTCTGCATCTCGGCTTCACAGGTTATCTGTTATTTTTAAAATGTTCAATATTTATGCATTTGGGTATGGATTCCTGCCTATTGTAGAGACTCGGACCCAGCGAAGACACGATAAATGCAGTCACATTTCTTATTCATGGCACAAGGATTCTTGTCTTAGTTTTCCTGATTATAATGCTACCACTTCTATCCTGGAATCTAATGTTCCTTTATGGAACTGTGGCTTTTTGATCAGTATACTGCCATGCCGTACTAAATTTTTAAACATCATGTGACATCACAATGCAAAACTGCCATGATTTTCTGGGTTGACGGGGTTGTAAACATTTTTTCACCTCTGGAAGCAAGTAACATGGGAGTGTGCACTAAACTTCCTCTAGATTCTGCTAGTTTTCTAGAGGTGGCTTTTATGTCATATGAGAGATCACATAAACTGTAGAAGCTATCTGCTAAGGAAACTTCGGTGAAACTCTGGGAAAGAGCATAAATCTGCACCTGCAGCTGAGATTCAGGTAACAGCCTTGACCCAGCCCAAGTCCCATAGATTTCCATTGAGTTAAACACATGTTTACGTTTGCCATTTAAATCAACGGGACAATGAGTATCCAATCATTTGCTTGGATTGCCCCCCCCCCATGAATTCCATTTTACAGGTCTTCCTTTTTACTTATTTATTACCAGATAGACAAATAGCACTCTCAGTTCTCTGAGCGCTGGTCCTTACGTAGCCATAATGGCAGTACCCAAAAGAGACATATGAGTGAGCTTAGGGGAACCCTAAGGTTTGCGGAAGTATAAAAAATATTGAAGGGGACGACGACTCTGATTTGTTGGGTGAGGATTCTTGAAACAGACCAATGAGGACTGGTGGCCCTCAGTGGATACTGAATGCTGACTGACAATTGAGGGGTGTGTGTGTGTGTAAAACTGTGTGGGAGGAGGAATGGAGTACTATTGTCAAGCGCATGGCTGGCTGGGTGAAATGCCCCACTTCACAGTGCAACATTTTGTTCCAGGTTACACTTGCCCTTATTATTGCTGCCACCATCATCTTGCTTTTCTGTTTAAAATTTACCACCCACTGTTTATATTTACAGACTTACTTGCTTACATTTCCCCAAGGAACTTGAAGCTTGAAGAGAAAGACTATTACGTACCATTGAAAATCAATGACAACGGAAGGCCTCCTATGGAAGGAGTTGTTACTCTGAAAGGTACAGTGAAAGTGGTGTCTATGCTCTTTGCTCCCCCCCCCTTGGCTATTTTCTCTTAATGCCTGGGAATTTGTGGTTTTGTCCACAGTGAGACTGTGCAAATGTACAGAGGAAAATAGATGCTTCCTGGCAATTGATGACGGACCTTCACTTCCGACAGTTGGGATGGCAATTGGAATTCTGGCTGGTGTACTGCTAATCATTGGTAAGTGGCTGTTTTAAATGGGCCTAATGGTGAGAGTGGGACGCGGGTGGTGCTGTGGGTTAAACCACAGAGCCTAGGGCTTGCCGATCAGAAGGTTGGTGGTTCGAATCCCCGCGACGGGGTGAGCTCCCATTGCTCGGTCCCTGCTCCTGCCAACTTAGCAGTTCAAAAGCATGTCAAAGTGCAAGTAGATAAATAGGTACCGCTCCAGGGGGAAGGTAAACGGCGTTTCTGTGCGCTGCTCTGGTTCTCCAGAAGTGGCTTAGTCATGCTGGCCACATGACCTGGAAGCTGTACGCCGGCTCCCTCGGCCAATAAAGCAAGATGAGCACTGCAACCCCAGAGTCGGCCACGACTGGACCTAATGGTCAGGGGTCCCTTTACCCTTTACCTTTAATGGTGAGAGTAGGGCTGTCAGTAAGAATGGGCAAAATTCTCCATTTCAGTTTCTCTTTTTTCCCAATTTTAAGTTCAGCTCTCCACATTTCTGCATAAGCTTATGATTTCTTTTTAAACGAAAGCCCTCATGAATATTCATCAGCACCTGTGTGCTTATTTCCCCAAATATATACATTTTTGTACGGAATGTTGCATAAGTTTGTAAGTTCAATTGTTTTTATTTTGAACAAAGCAGGCTGATGATGCTGGACCTCATTGCACTCGACTGGACAGCAGCAGTTGACAGAACTTAAACAACTTGACTGTTTTGGGGTTTTTTCCCCCCACTTTCCAAAACAAGACAAAACCCTTGGGGGAATTTTGAAAATAAATTTAAACACTGAAGGAGCCAAGATGACTGACTAGGGAATTTGGCTTTCAAACATGCAAATAAAAGCAATATATATAGAGTACAAGTCTTTGCGATTTTTGGAAGCCGTCAACTGTTGGAAGCAAATTGAATAAACAGTTATTTGGATTCACAGGGAAAGGCTATTCGAAAGCATGAATTGGATAAGGCAGGCTGAATTTGCAAAACTTTTGCTGCAAGGGGGACAAACTCTATGAGACACTCCCTCCCATCACATTTCGTGCAAACTTAGCTTGGAAATGAAGACTGCAGTCCACAACTTAGTGCCAGGAAGAAAGTCACCATGGAATAATTGTAGATCCAACTATGCACTTTTGCATGGCTAGGAACAGTTGCAACTCTCTCACATTGAAGGACATCGCCATTGACTATCTTTCTTTAAGGATGTAGGCAGGGGATTGCTCTATCACAACATCTATAGGGTGCAAGCTCCACCAACTTGAATAGCTTTGAAAACGAACTAGACTGATTCATGCAGTATAGAGCTATCAATGTATAGACAATGCAATGCCTTGGCCTACAGACTTATGAGATCTATAGATAGAGTTATAGATCAATAGGTTTTCTAGATCTATAAGTCCGGGCATTGCATTTAGGATAAATTAAGATGACAGGTAGCAACCGAGCTTAGTTCCCATTGAAAGGTGGCACTGCTTCCTGCCCACCACTAACATCACCTGCAGATCTGACCGAGAGGCCAGTGAGTAGTGGCATGTGCAAGCTGAGTTGGCGAGGGACTTTTCTGAGCATCTGGGGCACTTTGTCCAGTGCCAAACCTGGCTGACTGCTGATGCTGTAAGTGTTCATCAGATTACATTGTTGGGCTGTTATTTTAAACACACACAATAGGAAGTAAGCCCCATTGAACACAGAGGACCTTAAGAGTAAAAATGTTTTGGGTTGTACTGTAAACACCTGGGCCTGTTTTGCCTGCAAGGTGTTTGCAAAAGCTAATTTTGCTTAAAGTGTGAAATAAATATCTCATTTCCCATTTTGTTCCCTCAGGTATCATTTTGGGGGTCGTCTTTCTCAACCTGAAACGCAAAAAGGAGTATGAGCTAAAGGCCCAGACAGCAAATGCTGTGAGCCCATCTGAATTGCGGAACTTGACGTAATTGTTTTACCAACAGGAACAATTCCATTGTGGGGTGTTCTGTTTTTTTAACTAGTTTTGTTGTTATTATCTGCTCCCATTAATAAATTCCGTATTTTCCACTAATCCGAAAATACAATTGTTACCTTTCATCCAGAAATACAGACCTATACTGAAGTTATCAGAGCTCCCCAAGTCATGTTGGTGCAAGAAGACTTAACTATGATGCAACAAGTGTGTTAAATGTTTAGTATACATGTTTTTCATTATTTGAATATTAGCTGTAAATAGGAACAGGAGCATGGCACATAGGGAATGGAGAATGTTCATGGATGCTCCCCCCAGGATAATTACAGCTTGGGGTGTGTGTGTATTTTTCATGTGGCTGTGGCTTGGAAAAGAGTTAAATCCACTACCTGTGAACTACAGTCCCAAAATTGCATGCACATACACAAGAGTATGTTAAATGGCTACCAGGCTAGTGCTTAAATACAAGGCTGTGTGATAGGAAGGTTTAAGTCTAAGAAATCTCGTCTCAGTATAGGAAGAACTACATGCCCTAGGAGCCTACATTTATGCTTCTGAGTCTTTTTTTAAAAAAATATTGTGTAATTTTAGCTATTTTCTATATTTAGCATAGTTACAAGCTTTTTGCCAAGGACAATATTATAACATAACAGACCCACTGATGGAATCATCTGAGAATGTGTCCCATGACTCTGCGTCTTAAAACCTTGTAAGGTTCCTTTATTAAGCACAAAGTCAACACAGGATCTTTGTTCCAATTGCCCTGCAATTCACATCTTTTGAGCTTTTAGGTATGACTTCTAGAACTAAAACTATGCACAAATTAACCTGTTACTAATTAGTCTTCATCATAAATCTGAAGTAAATATATACAGGCGCTTTCGCATCGAACTTTGTAAGACGGCGGAACGCATAGTTGTAGCTAAAATGGGGGGGGTGATGAGTGTATTTGGTTTAGTAAAGTACAGTACATCTCTGCTATTCATAGAATGTGGAATGTTGACCATAAAAGTGACCTATTAATAATCATGCCACCCTTACGCAGATGGAACAAGTTGGGCAGAGATGTATGCACTTTGCCCTGAAATAAAACAAACATAGAAACTTTGCACCAAAATGGAAGAATTGAGATGGACCAGATTTGTAAGTCACACATGCAAAAGTGACATGGACCAGAAACAGATTGATTTGTTCATTCATTCTTTATGACCCAGTACAGAATTCAGGTTTTGGGGAAATCTCTCGCTCGCTCGCTTATAAAAAATATATTTCTAGTCCTTTTATTGGGAGAGAAATCTGGACCTGAGGCTAATATGTTGGATGAAATACCTGGGAAGGAGCATTTGAGAGAAGGCAGCTCTCCAGCTGTTAAGAACATTAATGGCAAGAATAAACAACTTAAGATGGGCCTGAGGTTTTTTTTTAAAAAAGGTTCTTAATCAAAATAATGGACTGTAAATGTCCAATTTTCCTCTGAAGCAGGGCAGAAATACCGTATTTTTCGCCCCATAGGACGCACCGGCCCATAGGACGCACCTAGTTTTTTTTGGGGGGAAATAAAGAAAAAAAATTTTATTTCCCCCCCCAGGCGCTTGTGGGGCCGGCAGTGGGGAGAAGCGCTCTTCTCCCCGCCGCCAGCCTTCAGACCAGGTCGGGGGACAGAGCTTGTCCCCGGAGCTTGCGGGGCTGGTGGCAGGGAGAAGCACGCATCTCCCCGCTGTCAGCCTCCAAACCACATCGGGAGACAGCGGGATGGCAGCGTTCCGCCTCCCCGCTGTCCCCCGAGCTTGTGGGGCTGGCGCTGGGGCTCTCCTGAGGCCTGAGACCCCTCTCGCTCTCCAGGCTTCAGCGAAAGCCTGCATTCGCCCCATAGGACGCACACACATTTCCCCTTCATTTTTGGAGGGGAAAAAGTGCGCCCTATAGGGCGAAAAATACGGTAACTGGTATTTGTTCCCCCAGCTGAAGAACCTGACAACAGAAATACCTGCATTATTTGACAGTATCTTCTTTACAATACAAAGTATCATTTCGAGTATTTGGCAGATACGACGTACAAAACTGTCACTTTTGGTTTCTCTAAGATTTTGTTTTTTTCAAACTCAATTTGCACATTTCTGCAACAGTTTGTTGTTTCCTCAGACACACTCTACGCAATTCCGCCCAGTACAATACATTTTTGTATGCTATCGTCACAAATGTGCACATTCGTGCCCACTTTCCCCTAACATATGCATTTTTGTACACATTATTTGGCTGGAGGCTGTGTCTCAAAATTTAGGGAAGTGTGAACTTAGACTGATAGCTGTGCTTCGGTTCACATCATGTTTCAGTAAATGCAAACTTTCTTCCCCATCCCCATCGGTGAACATGTGATGAAAATATATAATTGTTATTGTTTTGTAATATGTTATGGGACATATACATACAAGGTCTTCATCTTTCATCTGTCTTCCTGGAACTGTAGAACCATGGAGTGGATTCTGCCACTTGGACTCTAATTTCTTCACTTTGGATATCCTCAAAAGCTTTTCTTCTGTTTCCATGTTGTTGTTTTCTCATGTAAATCAATAAAATGTGTTTTATAACAATATGCTTGCTATTGGTTAACATAGTCTTCTTTATTTGTGGCAGCTTGCTGCCCAGTCTGCTCTAGAGCAGTGCTACTTAAAAGTGGTGGCCCATGGACAGATCAGTGGTGCTGATCTGTGAGCCATTGGCTGCTGGTCCACAACAACTCCAGCACAGCCTAGGTTGGGTGGGATGCTTCAAGGCCTAAATATGGTACCAGTCCCTGGCACTTGGAGAAAAGAAATGCCTGTCCACCACATTGCAGGAGGGGAGAGTGCTCCTGTGCTCGAATCCTGCTTGCTGGATTCCCACAGGCATCTGATTGTCCACTGTGAGAACAGGATGCTGGAATAGATGGGCCATTGACCTGGTCCAACAGGTTTTTCCTATGTTCTTACATCAGATAGTTGGAGAAGTACTGCTCTAGAGGACTGTACTTCCGTTCTTGCAATTTTCTCTACTAATTCATTTGAAAGCTCCTTTCTATTTAGCAACCCATTCACGGTCTATGACAATGCATCTCTCGGCTAGCTTTTAAACCATTCAGAAGGTGTTGGTTGTTTTCACGGTCACAGACGGAGCTTAACAAAATTATCTGCTTTCTGTCCTGTACTCATTGCCAGATCCGTCTTACCGTCTAGCCTGATATCTTTTGTTTCCCACAGCTGTCATTATTGTTTCACGTCAGCAATTATGAGCAGCACCAGAAAATCCTCAAACCACCCCCTAAATAAACCCCATAGTTCTTTCCAAGTGCCTGAAAGTCCCTTATTCATATAAATATTATCAAAGAATTGCAGACTCCAAAGGAGACACAAAAGAATGTTGTCTCAGAGAGAATTAAAACAAGGGAGAAAATTAAAGTTAGGAAAATTAAATCCTAGTTGGAAAGCTACAAGACTGGGGCTATTCACTTTTATTTAAGAGTTGAGATTTGCCCATTAAACAGATGGGCTTACTTCTGAGTAAACATGATAGGTTATCCCATTTCAGAATGGGTTGTACCTTGTGAACAAGTTATAGCAATCCTTGTCACCGAGATTACCTGATCCTCAAATGATTATTATCAGCTTATGGTAACATGGAGTTGGGCTTCCAGTGTTGTGGAATGCTCTCCCTGCTGAAATATGACAAGTCCCATCAGTACTGGCATTCTGCTGGCTCTTGAAGATATGCCTGTTTAGACCGTGGGATAAATCAGCTTCATATAACCAACATGCTTAAGTCTAATTAATGCATGAAAGGGTTAAGACCATAGAGTAAGCTGTCCTGCCAGGCTTAGCTAGGTCACTCCTCACCTTGGGAGGAAGGGTTATCAAACTTATTGTTCTCTCAATTCCACCATATGAACCCTACCAGTAAGGAGGTCTGAGCTGGATGCTCTAAGCTTAGACCACGTGGCTTAAGCAAACCATTTTTGTGTTTGTACACAAATAATTTAAAAACATTTACCATTTTGGAACTTAAGTTATACTGCCTGTCTTTTCTTGCTGCTGTATGGAAAAGCACATGAAACCAAACCATTCTTAACCTACCAAATGTGTATTCCCTTTCTATGCAGAGAGAAGTGGGGAATTTTGGAAGCAACTCAGAAAGGAATATTTTATAAGTCTAAGAGCTACCACACTTTATTTTACTGCATGTTTTGTGATTTGGGGCTCTCTCACCAAAGAGTACTTGCTCTAAACCTAGATTTAGGCACACAGAGAATACTCCTTTTATTTTACCATATCTATTTTTCTTTTAATCTGTTTGATTAAATTGTTTTACTGTGCATTTTAATTATGTATGGCTGTATTTCTATAATTGACTTTATACTTGTAAACTGCTTCAAAGTCAACTTGGCAAGGATGGAATATATAAATTAAACAACAGCAATATTGCTGGCTCAAGGAGAATCCGCAGACATTCCCTTAGAATTCTTCCCTGCAGAAAGTGATGTGGTTGGACTAGAATAACCCACTTTCTGTTCTTGTGTAGGAACAGTCTGCCAGGGATGAGGCAGATAATAAGTAACCAAACAATTAAACCCCTGTGTTGCAAACAATTATCAGTAATATCCAAGGCAACATGATGACCAAGGGCAACAATGTGATGTCAATATAAACTCTTTATATAATCTATACAGAACATTGAACAGTATGAAATATACGAAATATGCACTCTCTGCAAAACCAAATAAACAGAAATCTTATAAATCTCTGAAAATCATTGCTTCTTTCAGAGACTTGCATAGTCTACAAAGACTTTCAGAGACTTATAAGACTTATGTTTATTTGGTTCTATGTTTTCAAGAGAATCCATCAAGAGTGCATATTTTGTGATTTTCAGAGATTTATAAGATTTTTGTTTATTTGGTTTTGCAGAGAGTCTGCAACTGGAGTCACAGGAAAAAAGCAGAGTCAAGAATACCTTGTTTAAGCCACGGTCCCAACCCTAATAGGAAGCCTTTAAACATAGCTCTTTCTACCCAGGTGAGGGTCAGGGGGAGGATCAGTGGCTAGCCTTGGTGGCAGGACCAGTCCACAAACCGAGAGAATTTCACTCTTAAGAAGATGCGCCAAGCTGCGGTTCTAATCAATCATCTCTCAAGGCACACAAATATCGAAGTTCCTGGTTTCATCCCTAGCAACTCCTGATGTACTCTCTGTCTCTCCTTTCCTGTTCAGGCAGCCTACAGAAAGTCTTCGACACAGTAATGAAGTCTAAGCCCAGCTTCCTTGGAATCTGTGAGGAAGCCATAACTTCAAGAAGGAGCTTCTGTTCTGTGCTCATAAGCCCTAAGAAGGAACGGTCCTCTATATTACAGAGCTACAATTCTAAGTCTTCCCCTGAAGATGCCACATTGTTGTTGTTTTTTTTTATAATAATTTTTTATTCATTTTCCAAACATTTTTATACAATCAACTCATATTAACTCTCACATTCATCAATTTTTGACTTCCCTCAGTTTCTCTGCCAATCTTTCGTTAAAATTTCTATTGTTAACGCATTTCTGAACTTATTATTGCCTTTAACCGTTCCTCTTCCTTTCTCCTACTTTCTTTTTTACAATATTTCTTAATTGAAGATGCCACATTGTTTAACCTGTTCAGTGTTTTAATTTCATAAAGTAGGTGAATCCTGAGACCCATCCACGCACAACCATTACCATGGTCTCTAACTGGATAGATAAAAGCACCTTGAAACATTTTTCAAAATGCTGACTGGTTCCTATTAACAGGGAATTGACTAGTATTCTATTGATAACCTGTCAGTGTGTTTGGGGTTAATATTTATGGTGTGACACTGAGATGTGCAAACCAAACTGCAAAACGTGAATAAAGCCTTCATGGAGAGAGGTATAAGGAGGAATTAAGGACGTTCATGGCCCCATCTTCTCTGTCATTCCACCCTCAGATAAGAAGGATTGCTTTGTTTATACATCTAGCTCCATTTTTGAAACTAAAGTTTGGCTAAAGCTGTAAACTCCAAAGGAAACAGGAGACTGTTGCTTTTTCAAAATCTCTTCTAATGTAAACGCTTCTGCTTGCAAAAATCTGATGAAATGTTGCTTTTTAAAACAAACTGTCAAATGCTTGGCAAATGCTGCAAGGACATTTAAATACAGCTAGCATCCTTAGCAATTTGCTGGTGGGGAGGAATCCCTGACGCATTCAGTATTTAGGGCTGGGTTCTCACATAAGAAAAGTCCCGCTAGATCTCACAGTTGGGAAAAGACATTGCTTTCCCCCAAAGAATTCTTGGAGCTGTAGTTTGTTAAGGATGCTGGGAGTTCTTAGGCGGTCCTTATTCCCCTCCCAGGGGCCACAATTCTCAGAGTGGCTTAATCATCAAGCCCTCTTCATATGGAACTCTGAAAAGTGTGGCTCTGTGATCATTCTCATCCCTGGAAAAGATCTCAGACCTGAGAGCTTAGACTATCATCAGCAGTCAGAGTAGCAGACTAGAGGAGGGGTCACCAATCTAAGGCCAGGGGGCCGGATCCGGCCCAATCACCTTCTCAGTCCGGCCCACGGACGGTCCGGGAATCAGCATGTTTTTACATGAGTAGAAGGTGTCCTTTTATTTAAAATGCATCTCTGGGTTATTTGTGGGGCATAGGAATTTGTTCACCCCCCCAAAAAAAATATATAGTCTGGCCCCCCACAAGGTCTGAGGGATGATGGACTGGCCCACGGCTGAAAAAGGTTGCTGACCCCTGGACTAGAGGGACCAGGAGTCTGCTGCAACATAAGGCTGTTGCACATATTAAACAGCCATGTTTCAGATGTGGTCTGTTGCACTATTCTACAAGCTGACATCATGGGCAAAGGACCAATCCTGCCCAGCTGGTTAGGGCAATATGAGCTTACAAGTTTTGGCATCAAAAAACATTTTGAACAGCTTCATGCTTCTATCTTTACATCTGTTTTTCTCTTCCTTTTGGATGTCACTCTTGGAACATCAAAGGGAGCCTCACAAGAGCCAATGAGAAATCGTTTGAATGCTAATTTAATATATTCTGTTTCTGGCTGGATTTACTTAAGGAAATGAACGCAGGACTTATAAAACAGGAAGAGTTTTGAATTGGATGATGCACAGCAGTGATTCATTTGTGCTCCCTGAAATGTAAAAGAAACCTTCTGGACTTCATAATCGTTATTGCTGGTGAATACCAACGCAAAATGATGAAGGGCATTTTCACTGACCCCCCCTCCCCCTTTCCCGAATGAAACTTTTATTATAACAGCACACATATTCGCAAGGGACATATCCTTGCCAGCTTTCTTTCTTCCTGGCAACTGAAAATTCACTCTCCGGAGTTGCAGCAGCAATGGACACAGAGCAAAATGTGCTGTGCCAGTCAAAAGGATACATACCACATGATGTGTGGCAGTGAAACATGACCAGACTTAAGAACAAAATTAGATTCCTGCTGGATCAAGCCAGTGGCCCATTTGGTCCATCATCCTGCTCTCACAGTGGCCAACCAGAGGCTTGTGGGAAGCTTCGAAGCTTAATAGCACTCTCCCCAATTGT